GATGTCGGAGTGTACCTTGGACCAGTACTGTCTTTGCAGTACAAGTGGACGCGATACCAAGTAGGTTCCTGCCTACTTACGCTTTTCTTCATTGATTCTGCGCTATGACTAGCTGCATAGTACAGCTTCTGGGCAACATTTTGTTGTTTCACCACGAGGATTATCTGGAAAATTACAACCCTGTGTAAAAGGTCGATGTCACATTAGACCCCGCACTATTCTGCCTGAAGACTGTTTACTTCCTCGCAGCTCAACAGATCATGTGCTGGCAGACTCGAACCTGGTGTGGCAAGTCACGAAGGCCCTGCAAGCCCACACAAGTGTCTGGGACTTCCATGAGTGGTACAGCCTCAGCACAGTGAACAAAGCCTTCCGGAGCGCCCTTGACGGACAGCCAATAGCGCTGAAACTGGGCAGGCAGGTCAGAGAGCAGGAAAGAGAGGTGATGGAGCACAGCAAGCTGCACATTGTCCATCTTGAGCTGCACCCTCAAGACGAGCGTGTGAGCAGCATTCTGCTCTCTCCAGCTTTCAGGTGAAGAGCTTTGGGTAACAAGTCCCAGCAGACAAACCTGCTGCAATCCTGCACATCTCCATCAGACTTGATTCCGTGGAGCAGCACACAGACTTGCTTGAATCCCTCGCTGCTGTCCAGGGAGAGGCATGCGGCAAGATTGACGGTGCTGCTCAATTTCAACATGTCCAGGTCATTTGAGCAGTTCATGACGTATGGGCATCAGTTCAAGTCGCTGAGGACTCTTGAGCTGACAACTGGAGATTATGGCAGGGCAGCTCAGCCCCTTCTGATTCCCTTCCAGTCTAAATGGGTGAGGACGGGTCCCCTTTCAACATGCTTTTGTGATATTGCATTCATACAGTACAGAAATGACTCGATATACTGCATGTGATGAGGCCCTTGCATTGTGTTTTAATAGCTGCATGGTTCATGTCTGGCTTCAGGTGCAGGCGCTGGAAAGTTTGCACGAGCTGACGCTGAGGGGATACCTGCTTCTGGAATTGTTACATCTGCCAAAGACACTGCGATTCCTCGATTTATCAGCATGCAAGGTGTCTTACGAGGCGGCCGTGTGCCTCCCAGCACTGCTGCGCCTCACATCGCTTGCAATCCCCAGCAGCGGAGGGCGGTTCTGTTTTGAGAACCATGATTAAGACACATAAGTTTAGTAGCATGTTGGTAAATCTAGGAGATCTCTTCTAGAAGAATCTGACGAGCTGCTAAGAAAGGGACAAATACTGATTATCGCTCACACTTTGTTGACTGCTTGCTAATTTATACCTGTTGCTGATTTATAAGAGCAAGAAACATAGGACAATCAAGGGCGTGCGAGCGCCAGAAAAAGGAAGGGCTGCCTCGCACAACAAACATCAGGAATGTCTGATATCACACATGAAAGATCTGAAATCGATTTACATATACCTGTTGCTTGTTCTATCCTTCTTACACATAAATGCTTGCCACATGAAGTATGACATGGCCGGCACCATGTTTTTATTGCCCTTCATGCGAGAGCAGTCGCTCACATCAAAACTTCCTACGACTGGTGCTCTTTTATTCAAAATCCTATTCAGGCAACTGTCACACAAGCGATTATCACACATGATCATACACTCCACAACCGTTACAACTGGAAATTCGGCACTGGAACTAGCCAGACAAATTGTATGCACCCAAAAGTGTGGCAGATTGAACCGATGCATTGTACAAGGGTGTTCATGACTGTGATACATCTAACAGGAGTCCATGCAACCTAGCCATTGAGCATCAGGCCTGCGAACATATCCCCACCAGCAGGCTCAGGAGCACCAGCATCACCACCCCGATTTTCTAAAGGAAGCAGGTGCTCGCCCCCAGGCAACTCCACGGGCTTGATCGCAGGAGGGCTCGACACGATGGACGCGCTGGGCACGCTGCTGCTGCTGTGAGCATGACCCAACTCGTCCCCGCCTTTTACCCCAAGCATGCCAGCCTCTTCGTGAGCCCCATTTTGGTGCACCTCGCCCGTGTCGCGGCCGCTGTGCGCCCCATGCATGCTGACAACATCCTGTGACTCATCAGCATCAGAGGCTGCCGCATCAGCGTGTACACCTCCGCTGCGAGCGCTTCCCAGGAAGTCACCCGCGCCGGCATCGCTGCCGCCCCACTGCGTCGAATCGCCGCCCATCGTGCCGGCAGTGCTGCCTGCATTGTCGATGTGGTGCATGTGCGCCGCCTCTGCCATGCTGAGCCCCCCAAACATGCCGGGCTCAAAGGCCTGCTCCATGTCGCGCCCGGAGTGTGTCGTGTCGAAATCGCCCCCGGCGCTGCTCGTGGAGCCGGTCTCCTTACCCTCACAAATCTGCTCAAGGTCAAGCGCAGGTACTGGATGCCCGGAAGAAGCTTCGGTCTCGCTCCCTGCCTCCTCCAGGGTGTGCACCGAGGGCTCGGCCGCTCGGCCAGCGCGCGGGAGGGCGTTCCCGGCCGGCAACTTGCCGCTGGGGTGCCTGACCAGGCTGGCAGCGCCTGTGATGATGCTGTCGATGCTGGAGTAGGAGCCGTGTGGCGCGAGGCGCTCCTTGACGCTGTCGGAGTCGGCGAGGTAGCCGGAGGCGCTGTCAGGGTCAGACACCTGCCTGTCCAGATTGGCCTCCCGCAGCAGTGCCTCCCTGCTGGCCACACTCTGCATTGCAGCCTGCGCAGGACGGCATTGGAGAGTGTAAAGGCTCGTGCAGCACAAACGGCAACAGAGCATGGAGCATGGACTGCCTTCAAAAGAAAACTCGGTGAATATGGTCAAAAGGGGTTCCATCGGGCGCGGATCCGCAACATTCTCACTCGGGGAAACTCCTGCCCGCATGACACAAGAGGGATGAAATCTTCTCAGTATGGGCCAAATTGATTTGCAATGAAAGTTAGAAGAGTTAAATTTTGCATACCTGGACATGCGCATGCGGCAGCTGCCGCGCAGCTGCAGGATCGTCTGAGCCCGCGGCTGCCTGCCCGGGTGGGGTCCATGCCCCCGCCAGTGGCGCGTGCCCGTCGGCATCAGACGACAGGTTGCCATCGGAGGCCTCCAGCGAGACGGAGTAACCGGAGTCGCTGCCCTCAGTGGCGACGTGGCTGGCCGAGCGCGCACCCGCGTCGGCCCTCCTTGTTGAAGTCGCATGCATGCGAGCCGGCGGTGCCGGCGCTGCTTGCTGGTCGCCACCTTGGTGATGCTCCCCTATACCCTCTGCAGCGCCCGTCTCGCCTCCATTACTGCTTGGTGTCTGCACCGCGATGGCATTGCGGCCCTCTGTGAGGTTACCGCCGGACTGCTGAGATCCATCTCCCTGACAACACTCCCCACCATGCTCCGGGGCGGCGCCTATGGCCAAACCGGTGCTAGATAGGGCAGGCGCAGCAGACAGGCTGAGCAGAGCATCGCCGAGATCGGCGTCTGTGAAGCCGTGTGCTGAAGCAAGGGCGTTCGCGTCGGCGGCCGCTGCATCGTGCTCTGCCTGCAGCGTGCCTGCCTCCTCGAACTTCTCCGCTGACACTGCTGCGTCAGTCTGCAGCTTTGTGTCCAATTCGACTGCCTGCAGAGCATGCGCAGTTCACTCGCACCGCAGAGCACACACGGCAAGGTCAATAGAATTCAAGCGCAGGACTCTTGAAAAATCAGAGCACCCGCGACGTACAGATACAGACCCAGGACTGAAAACTAGCCTACGAGTTAAAATTGCATCCGTGTCCTAACAGATCGAGCAGACAATTGAACACTGCTGTGGTGTCATGTAGGGCATCATTGCAAGGATGCATACCTTGAGGCGACGCCACTTGGCCAGGGCTAGTATGCGCTTGCCAGCTTCCACCTCTCCCTGCAGCCGCGTCACATCTTTTGACAGTGCGGCTTCGTCCGCTTCCAGGCCAGCAGCTCGGCTGCGCAGCCCCTTTGCCTTGGCGCTGGCTGCCTCTGCCTCTGTGCTTTGCGCCTTGCTCTCGGCTGACAGCCGCGCTGCCTCTTTGAAATCCTGTGCATGCCAAAGCACCCCCTATCAGGCAAAGGAACATACATATGGAACCAGACTGTGAAGCCCTTCTTCATCATACCTGTTCACCTGCGGTGTGGACGGCCTGCATGATCGAACTCTCTTTATAAGTACGATTTATTTGCTCCTCCTCTTGTTATGAGACCTGCCGCAGACGTTTGACACCACCAAAAGGCACAGCAGAGAGGGACCTTCACCCGCGCAGCTGCTGCAGCACGTTTCTCAGCCTCCAGCTCGGGGATGCGCTGGCGCGCGGCCAGTGCGGCTTCTTCCGCGGCCCTCGCCTCGGCCAGGAAGCCGGCCCGCTGCCCTGCCAGCGCTCTAGCCGCCACCCTCGCTCTCTCCGCATCAGCCTCCACAGCCTGCATCACATGACAGCCCATGTACGAGACTGGAAAGATTACAAATTGCGCTGACAAGCCCAGGAAACAACAGACAACACACGTCAGACGGCCTTGTTAAAGGAGGACAAGACAGCCGAGAAAAGCCACGAGGCAAACCCCCTGAACTACTTGTAAAAATGCACAATTTGCCAATCGAACATAGGGGAGTCTCCATGGCCATATTGCTGCGCACCAGCAGGGCAGCTCCAGCAGATTCCTCAGCAGCGCTCAGGGATGCATGCAGCTGCAGGATGCGTTGCTCTGCTTCCACCTGGTGTGAAGTCGCCTCGGCAGCTCTCTGCATTTCCTCCGCAGCCATGCGAGCCGACTCCGCCTGCAGAAGCCATCACCGGTAATCTACTTCGCCACACCGCAAACTCATCTTCAAACAGTCATATGATTTCACAACACTGTTAACACCAAGTGTTGACCTTCTTGAAGAACAATGCTCACATACAAATTCGTATTTGTCGAAGTAGTGTGGCAGACACCCCATGGAGCCCATACTGCTTTCGAGAGCCAGCTGGGGAAACAAATTATTCTAAAAAGGCAGCAGCTATCAGCGACAAAGAAGACCTGCAAAAAGGGTGGGGACATCCGTGAATCGAACACGGGACCTCTCGCACCCTAAGCGAGAATCTTAACCACTTGACCAATATCCCTGAGACACACACATGCTCATGACCTGATGGACATATCTATAGATCTGTGCAGGGCACAAGTCAGGCGAATGTAACAATCCTGCAAGTGATTCAGAGCGTGCCAACCTGCGCTCGGAGGTCCTCATGGCGGCGCTCGGCTTCGGCGGTGGCCGCAGCGGCGGCCGCGGCCTCGGCTGCCGCGGCCGCGCGCGCATCTTCGAGCTCGGTCTGCTGTGCGGCCAGGGCCTCCCGATCGCGCTGCAGCAGCGCCTGCGCGCGGTCATACTTGGCCGACAGTGTGCGCACCTGCACCTCCCCGGCCGCACACTCCGCCTCCATCCCCGCAAGCTCCGCTTCCTTCTGTGCCAGCTGCGCTCTGCAACAGCCAACGCAAGTGTTGCAGCTGCGCTCTGCAACAGCCAACGCAAGTGTTGCGGCACACCCATAGGGCACACTCTCATGAGCATATTGACGGGCCGCTGGAAGGATCAATGATGGCAACACAGCACGTGGAATTGAGCAGTGTGAATATGGAAGCCATTTATTGCTTTGTTGCGGTAATTGAAAGCCGCCAGTGACACTCCTCATGACTGCAGTCCTGCACAAAAGCTGTGCACACAGCGTATCTTCGCTTGCACCCCAGTGTCTGTAGGGCTCACCGCAGTGCTTCAACTTCTTGGCGCAGCACCGTGGCGGCCGAGAGCAGCTGGTCGAGGTGGGTGGTGGCCGGGGCGGTGGCTTCGGCCACCTTGGCGGCCAGTGCAGCCTCCTCCCCCTCCAGCCAGCGCTGCCTGGCTTCCATGCGGGCCTGCAGCTCCTGCAAATGCTCCGCACTGCTGGTTGCGGCTTCATCTGCCGCTGCCTGGGCCTGTACTTACACAGAGATGTCCGTTCCTTAGGATGGTTTCTGGAGACATCACTGAGGAAGTTCACAGCCAGAAAAGGCTTTGAAGGTTCAGGAAAGAAACTCCGTTTGCCATCAGGAGGATTGCAAAGTAATGACTGCCGTATCCAGGCATGGATGACATCCACTCAAGGAAGGAACTCACCTGAGCCATCTTTGTGGCCTCCTGAGCCGCCTTTTGCTCGAGCTCCTCTTGCCTGCGTCGCAGGGCTGCAGCAGACTCGCTGTGCTGCTTGGCCTGCTGCGCTGCAAGCTCCAGCCGGGCAGCCACCTGTCACAGGCCATTCAACACTTCAACACTGGATTGGTGTGAGAGTATGACAGCAAGACATGCAGAGCTCATGCTATATAGTACCTTTGCCGGCATCCCTGACCATGGCTCAAAGCGCCTGGACACCGCCTCAAACAAGTCTTGATGGGATGCTCTCCTCACCGCCTGTGTCAGCAATGCATGCACTCCAATATGCTGCTGCCAACCCCTGATGCTAGCTCGAAAAGCCCGAGTGCTGCCACATGCAAGCACAAGCAAGTCACTGCCGACTGCTTACCGCCTGTGTGCAAGCGGCGTCAGCGGCGCGCAGGGCTTGGTCCAGGTCGGCCAGACGTGCTTTTGCGGCATCTGCCTTGGCGCTGAGGCTGGCCGCGCGCTCAAAATCCTCTGCCTCCACTGCCGCGGCCTCTGCATTAGTCGTCTCCTCCAATTCCTCTGTGCACACCAGCACAGGATCTCAATCCCTCTTGCGCAAAGGTCTCTCTGCAAGCACAAGCATCAGCACAACTAAATGTGTCCGAAGTAAGATGGTAGTGATCAAGTAATTTCACAAGTGCTGTTCTTGGGTGGTGGTAGCAAGGTGCATGTGTGGTGAGTGGCTCGCACTGGTGGATGCGGCGACTTGAGCAAACAGGGAGCGCCTCCGCTGTTTGGCAGCCGAACATGCAGCAGCTGCTTCCCGCACACGCTCTTCCAGGACATCCTTCTGTTCAGCCCCTCTCCCAGTTGCAACCAGCTTGCTGTCCAGCAACACTGGGCCCTCGCTCACCTATTAGATAGCCACAAACATGTGATATGGCATATGGGTAGCTTCGGGCAGGACAGCAGATGACTGATCATGGAGGCTTGTGGAAGAGGCACCTGAGAGGCCTCTTGCTGGTAGTCCATTTGGGGCATGCTGCTGGCTGCAGGTGTTTCAGGGCTGCCAGGTTGGAGGGTGCTGATGCTTTCAGGCATGAGAATGTCCAGTCCACAGCCTGAAGGCTGCTCAAGTGCAACCTGTATACACCATCTCCGGACATGTCACCACACCCCTGTCGTGGAAGAGTCTTGAAATTCCATCCAATATTGGTGTGTCTTGCTGTGAGGGATGCATGTGTGAACACAGCACCATTACCTGACTGCTCGAGTCCATACTGGGCACTGCCAGGGTGTCCAGAAGATCCAGTGTTCCACTTATAGGCTCACTGCTTGGCCCTGGAACCCCTCCTGTAAACTGCCCCAGTTCTGCAGCAGCCATCGGGGAAGATCCAGCAGCTCTTTCCCGTCCTGCACCACCACATCAAGATCATTTGATACCCTTCTCATGTCAGAGTGCAGAGCAGTGTGCTGGCTTTTTGACAAGCACTCTTCAGGATCATGCTGCTGGCCCAGCCATACCATTGAAGGTGAAATGTCAATCGCTCAGTGCTGTTAAAACTTGTCACATGCAGGTCAACCACATGTGCTCTTCTGGTGACTGAAAGTGATTCTGTGGTTGCTTGGTTGTTTCATATCCACACTCGAATACCTGTTGGGGCATGTGAGCTCCTTGGGGGTGCCACGTCATCGTCCTCATCAGCAGCCTCCCGAGCATATCCAACTCTCCGGGTGATGCGCTTGCGGCGAACGCCCCCAGGAGATGGTGAAGCAGCAGGCGGCAAGCTTGACACCGTGCTGCTACTGCTGCTCATATTGCTCGCCTGAACCCATATGGCAGTGTTGAGGTCCTACTAGCCCCTCAACCTCCTCAGCAGGTTTCAGCAGGGCGTCCCATATTGTGCAGCAAGCGATAGCTGGACATGCATGGTGCAGTGCGCATGGCAGATTCAATGTCCTACTGGGCTCCCAAGCCTTCAGCAGGTTTCCAAGGTTTTCCATGTCGTGCAGCAAGGCAAGCCACTGGCTTGACAACATCAGGTGTTGTCCAGTGGTGTCCTTAATATAAGCATATAACCTTCCCTCTTTGTCAGGATGGCATGCCTGTCTGGGGAGGGCTGGTGGAACCGGCTGTTGGCTGGCATGGGAGGCTTGCAGAGGTGATGAGATGTCTGGCATGACTGCTGCAGGACTGCTGGTGGGTTCAAAGTTGCTCACGCCAACTGACAGACTCTCCAGACCTGAGAATAGGTCCTCTGGCAATGGCCCACTGTGCGTTGTCCCACACACATTGTCAGGGCCCAACAGTCAACAATCGTGTGAAAAGGAGCACTGCATGGACACACTCATCAGTTGACGCGGCTCTTCTAATGCTTAAGGGGACTAATCAAGCACCTGCTAACGCCCTGGATTGGCGCGCTGACCGACATGGGTGCCCCAGTGTCCGCTTCGGCAACAGGTATGTCTGTGCCTTTGGCAGTGTCAGGTGTGGGTCCAAGATTGAGCCCGGTAAAGAGCACATCACTCTCTCCTACAGGGGTTTGAGGGGTGTCTCTGTGGCGAGAGGATTTTTGCTCGGCTGAGTTGAAAGCATCGGCAGCCAGGTTCATGCCTTCAAACAATGAGGCGCCTGCAGTACACGTACATCAGGAATGGCGGGTACGGGAGAGTATGACAGAGACAATGATACCAAGCATCCAAGCAGTGGACGAGGCATGCAAGTTAAGACATTATCGTCACCAGAATCTTCAGCTGCCTTTGGCTTATTGCTTGACAGCATCCTTTCTGTAGAAGACTTCAATTCATTCTGCAACTCTGCAACTTGCCTGCATAGTTCATGTGAAGGTCAGCAACAGCAATCAGGCAAAGGAGAGCACCCTGTAAAAGCATACAGACGATGAGCATGGCCGACTTAAAGGCAAATTGTGATGAAATGAGGCATGACTCAAAAAGGTGCGTACGTGCGCCATATTGTCTTGCTGTCCCCATCTGGCAGGGACGCTATGTTTCCCTCCAATAGTTGAACTGCACACATTTAGAACATGCTTTGATCGCTTGAAGGCATCCCCCAACGGGTTCTGCACTATTCCAAGGTGGTTGTTGCAGCAGCAGCTCCGAAGGGAAGTGGGTGCAGTCAACAGGAAGGTCATTGACAATACCCTGCCGTGTGGCCTCGTTCAACAACGGGAAATCCTCTTGAGTCGCTGATCTGAGCTGTTTCAAGAGATCCGCAGCTTTTGCAAGGAGCGCTGGAAGATCGCTCTCTGCAGATCGAGGCCCTTCTGCTGTCTTGGGAGCATTCCCTCCCAGCTTGGAAAAGAAGCTCCGCATCTATGCTTATTCAAATAGTGTCAATCTGTGCAAGGTCAATTTGCGATTTTTCTTTAGCACACACAGATGCCGTGCAGGCTTCCGACACGTTGTCCGGGCGAAGAGGACAATTGCACCACTGAATGAGACTCTACTCGCCCATAGATTTGTTTCCAGACGCTGTGCAAAGCATATAATTTATCGCATGCTTATGGGCGTTCAATTTTAGGGGCCACTGCTCCAACAGTACCAAAAATTGTACCCTGCCCAACTCGTACGGGAGAATCGGCGGGGGACCTCCCCGCTGTTCCAAGAAAAGCAACAGCTAATGAACAAAACTGCCGTGTGACATATCGTGCAAGACATGAGATAACATGAAAAGGTAAAAATTGAATTCAGTGTCCAGTATATTTGTTTGCTCGTCAAAAGGATCACTTGATCAGGCCTGTTGATCGTGTCTCCCGTGTGTAAACCAGTTCGTCCTTAGGATTAACAGATGAAGTTCACGATTTTTTTTGGACTTTCCTTTTTTCTGGTGTTATTATGTTCGTTGAGACTGTTGCAAGTAGCGAATATTGGACAGAAAAGGTTGCAAGCAAGCGAGCAGGGCCTGCTTCCAAGGGCCCCAGAATTTTCTGTTTCTACTCCCAACCGACGATCATCTGTCCAAGAACGTTC